TAAAAACAAACTAATCAAGAGTACTTGAAGTATTTGGACATTCACACCATGGTCTAGCGAAGTATTTGGACATTCACACTATGGTCTAGTGAAGTATTTGGACATTCACATTAAGGTATAGTGTTCCAGTTAACCTTGAAACTTTCAGTATCTCCGAAGAAATAGGAAAAACTAATAACTTCTTCTGAACGTTATAAGTCGTTTTCACACTATTGATAAAAAAACAAAAAACTTGTTAGAAGTAAATTTTATGGTTTGTAAAGTTCATGAAATATAATTTGGTTGTTGTTTCTTATTAAGCACAAAGCTATTCATAATTCTATCTGTGCTCTGCCCCCAAAGGCTATCGAAACCCGGTTTTTAGCGTAGTAAGTCCTCAGACATGCCGCTGTGCCACAGAGGGCCAAAATATAATTGAGTGTACGCTTTTAATGCTGTTACATCTGAATAATGTTCATATTTAAATAAAAGTATTTATTCGATTTGTCATAAAAAAGATCTGGTGGATAAATTCTGGTCCCAAAACTCTGAAATAAGCTAATCTGCTAGGAATATTTACACCTTTTGATCATGAGATATTGAATGCTGCCAATACACCATTACATCACTAGTTTAAGTTTTATAGTAATGTAGTCCCCCCTCTCTCTATTTATAATAGGAATGAAGGGTTAAGTTACCTGGTAACTTCTTAATAACGCGGAACTAATTAGCTGCACATAAAAACATCTTTTGATGGATAGCAAAGTGAAATTTAATGGGAATAGTGAAATCGTCAAACTAGAGATAGTAATAACCTAATAATCTAATAATCCATATGGAGTCGACTCGTGAAAATAGTTGCCGGAGAGTGTTTCCGTGATCGCCAAATGTTTGGCTAAAGATTTAATATAATTTATTGACAAGAAGTCAAGTTAATTTAAAACATGAGTGTCAGTCGAAAGGTATAACTGTAAATAATTAAAACTTTATTCAACAACAAAGTAAGATGGTTTGTCAGTTATAAAATAAATTTGTTTGAGGTTATCAAACGAAGCACAATACTTGAAAAACACGTGAATGGGAAATGAATTACAATAACACCAAATTATAGACAGACTACCTTAGTGCAACTTACATATTCCACATAAGTAGACACATTTATAAAAAGATACAGTTAATAATTCTGCTCTGCACAAAATGCACATGTATCTTGTAGCAGTAAATCACTGCTATGAACACGGGGTCATCTCGAGATACAACCCAAAGGGTTTACTAGGTGTTGAAAAATGCCAATATGACACATTACTTCATATAGGGAAAGAAACATGGCAATGTTACATTAATGTAATAGAATAAAACATTAACAGTTTTAATATTTTGCTTTCTTATAAAATATTGCTACACTTATAGCAGAGCTCAAACCCATTCATTTCTACGTAATAAATAGGTATTTATGACCTGCTTTTCGACAAGGTGTATCTTCATGGTCAATAATTCCAGAATTAATGTAACTCTCTAACGATTGCAAAACAAGCAGACTCATAGAATTACCTTTACTAAAACGTAAGTGAGGAATTTACATCCATGTTCTGGAGAAGGGTAGAAACCTATAGCTATACGTAAAGATGACATCGTTATCTTACAAAGAACCGTTTGGATATTATACTACTCAAAACATATAAACACATAAAGCAATACAGCTCGTAGAATAATATAAATCATAAAAAGCAGCCACAAATGAGACTATTTTGTAAAAGCTTTTGCTTTAAAGGATTTCACAGAAAAGCAGGCTATCCTGCGCCATGGTCTGGAGGCTCACTTGAGCATCCATGGGTAACAGTTCCACAGTTAACGGTTCGCCACGCTCCCTACGACAGCTCGGGCAGTTACAGACTGGACGTTCATCCACGGATTCCAATTCCTCTTCTGGGTAAGTCGTGTATGTGCTACCTCTGGCACCAGTCTCTCTGATTGCCAAAAGGCTTTCTCGCCTCAGTTTAGCCTCTTGATACTCATGTGCTCTACATGGGACGGTTTGGTTCACTGGTTTACCACATTTAGGGCAGATTCCTGGAGAATCTGACTTCTCTTCACCTTCATGATTCGACTTACCCCGCGGAAAAAATCTAAACTTCTAAACAGTAAACGAGAAACTTTTTTAGAAACATTTATCTAACAGAATGATTAAAAGTTTCTAACTCTATTCAATTGATGCTTACTATAGTCTGTGGATAAAAAGTTTTTTCTTGTGAGTTTAAAATGACTAATTACACTATTACTGATCATTATTCTAAATCCATTTGTTACATTAAAAGTTTAACATGATATATGTAAGCTTATACGAAAAATTGTTATAACGGCTCACGGTGGAAACTCTTTAATTTGGAGTTGATCTTTTAACATTTAACATGGTATATATAAGCTTATAAGAAAAAGTGGTATAACAACTCGCAATGGAAACTCTTTAATTTGGAACTGATCTTTTAACATTTAAGATGGTATATAAGCTTATAAGAAAAACCGGTATAATGGCTCACGGTAGAAACTCTTTAATTTGGAGCTGATCTTTTAACATTTAACATGGTATATATAAGCTGATAAGAAAAAGTGGTATAACAACTCGCAATGGAAACTCTTTAATTTGGAACTGATCTATTTCCATCTCCACTGAAACGTTTCTCAAGGGTTAGCAAACTGCCTGAAATTTATTAAGTTAAACTTTTAAATATTTTAAGGGTTCTGAAAAAACTAATGGGGATACAATTTACCCGTTTCTTTTTAATGCAAGAAGTTACACCTAATTTTAAAGAATCGTACAAATAAATGTTTAAACTATGTAATTAGAACAAACTATAAAATTCTCTAGGTAGAGGAGATCACGCTTTACTTAGCGGTTTACTTGTAAGATGGTCAAGAAAAAATAAACATAATACCTTCTTTGTTTTCTTCACTTCGGACTTTTCAAACACACAAACACAAAAATCGACCGTCTTATTGTGATCCTGGCTCATGATGAACCTGAATATTGAACAAACAATCAACATTAGTTCGTTAACTCTTGTTCGATTATCGAAATGGATTGGTTTGTTATAGATTTCGCGCAAAACTACACGAAGGCTATCTGCGCTAGCCGTCTCTAATTTAGCAGTGTAAGACTAGAGGGAAGGTAGCTAGTCATCACCACCCACCGCCAACTCTTGGGCTACTCTTTTACCAACGAATAGTGGGATTGACCGTCACATTATAACGCCCCCATGGCTGAAAGGGCGAGCATGTTTGGTGTGACGGGGATTCAAACCCGCGACCCTCAGATTGCGAGTCGAGCACATGCCGGGCCATCGAAATGGAACTGTTGCTTTTTTGCTGATGAACAGTTTGGAATTCGAGATTTGAAATTGTCACATATGACGCACTTGTGAGATTAGATATTTTTCACTGTAAGTGTAGAAGTTTTAAATATTATTTCGCTATCATTTGCACGCGTGTGTACATTCATTTAACGAGAGTTTCCTCATATTCAGCAAGTTGTAACCATGTTTCTATTAACTATTGGCACAAGTTCGTCTATAATAAGTCAATGCATTTTATCTGATATCATGTACTTAAGCATTGAAATAGAGAATGATATGCTATCATAAAATGTTTAAGATAATATGGAATGTAAGTAAATTTTCGGTTAGGCCAGTTTTATGGAACTTGTTTTCTAAATGTTACACATAAGTTTGGGTTTATCGAGTCTTGAAAACTAAAAGTTGGAATTTCACCGAACGGGAACAGTGTAAAAAGTGTTTTTATTAGACGTATATATTACATTAAGTATTGTATATGTCTCACCAGATTAAATATATTACATTAAGTATTGTATATGTCTCATCAGATTAAATATATTACATTAAGTATTGTATATGTCTCACCAGATTAAATATATTACATTAAGTATTGTATATGTCTCACCAGATTAAATATATTACATTAAGTATTGTATATGTCTCATCAGATAAATATATTACATTAAGTATTGTATATGTCTCACCAGATTAAATATATTACATTAAGTATTGTATATGTCTCACCAGATTAAATATATAACATTAAGTATTGTGTATGTCTCACCAGATTAACGTTTGAAAGTTATACTCGTTTGTATGTTCTCCTTTCAACTAAAAAACAGCAGAGCAAATCTTTGTTGAATTTAGTAAGTTTAATGTTTGCATTTCTTACTGACAGAACAACTAATAGTTATTTATTGAAAGGTTTCTTTTGCGCTTCATAAGCTTAGTGTTTAATCGTAACTGAACACGTTTTGCAATAAATCAAACACTAAACAGCTATAGCATTGCCTCAGAATATTCCCGTTGTTCTACCATGTACAAACGTCTCTTCATTCTCTTCACACACACACACACACACACACATATGTATATATATACATTAAGTCACTCAATTAGTTCTATGCGGTGAATTACGATTTTATTAATTAAGCTGATAAATATTGTATATTATAAGGGTATGCAGCAAAATTTATAATAAAAGTGTTGAGTATAGCTGTTTGCATTTTTATTATTGCCTTTTCAAGTGTGTCGATTGGTCATGTAATTTATAAAAATCTTACTCAATCAGAGTCGAAGTTCTAAAGGGTTCACTACGACGAGAGGAGTAAGTCAGAGTCAAAGTTCTAGAGGGTTTACCGTAGGTAGAGAGGGGAGCCAGAGTCAAAGATTTAAGAGATTCATTGCGAGGATAGAGGAGACCTAAGAACCTATCATTTTTTTTTTCAACTGGATATGCGTCACATCTTGCTTGTAGCTGTCGATCGTTACGCTTTTTTTTTATTTAATTGGTGTCATCTAATTTGTGGCCTAGTGAGGTAATCACAGCTAGTTACTAAGCGGTCCAGCAAAGCATGTAAGCATAATTTTTTATAAGGGGGTACTCGCTTAATTACTGAACATATATAAAGTTCTTGAAACAGCTTCGTTTTGAGTTTCGCGCAAAGCTACACGAGGGCTATCTACCCTAGCCGTCTCTAATTTAGCAGTGATAGTGTAGAGGGAAGGCAGCTACTCAACACTACCCACCACCAACTCGTGTGCTATTATTTTGCCAACGAATAGTGGGATTGACTGTCCCATTATAACGCTCTCACGGCTGATAGGGCGAGCATGTTCCGTGATAGGGATTCGAACTCACGACCCGCAGATTGCAAGTCAAGCGCCCTAACCACCAGGCCTGAAACAACTTTAGTTCGGAATAGTGCATTTATTATTGAGTACAATGTTTCTTCTCTAAAAGTGAGACATAAATATGTATGTATATAATATACACATAACGACGATGACAGTTTCATTATCTACTATAAAGAGTTCATTCATTCTTTCCTTCTATAGTGTTCACATTCTCCAGTTTTAGAGTAATCTTCGAGAGACCGCTTCATTCTGTTTGATAAGGTAACTAATACTAGGCTGCATCTTATGTTTTGTTGGTTTTACATCATTTTCAGTGACCCATTGTGTCAAACTATAAATATGGAGTGATAGGACAATATGGTATGTACACGTTACAAAGAGCAGGCAAAAATCTCTGACCCATCATGCTGCCCCCTAGTGGCTCATCAGTAGGTCTACATGCTTACGACGCTAAAAATGAGGTTTTAATACCTGTGGTGGGCAGAGCACATATAGCCCACTGTGTAGCTTTGTGCTTAACAACAATCAAACCAAAAGCATCGTGTTGAATATTGTTATAAGCTATATTTGTAATGTTGTAATTTGTTTGTTTGCTAGAGGGAGCTACATTAAGATCCAAAGGTTTAATCTGGAATACCAGGTAGTTTCTGGAAAGTTACACGACAGGATTTCTACTATATTTTAAAGTAGACTATAAATGCGGACGAGTCAGTCAATGAGCTAAGCAAGTAAGCTTGTAGAATGAATCATTCAGTATGTTTACGTGTTCTGATCAGTGTTAGCGATCGTGCATATTGAGTTACTTTTTACAATTAAATTTATTTTGACATTAGTCGTAGAGAAATTAATGTGGTGTAATATATCCTTAAGCCAAAATAGTTACAACAGTGTGCAAGTGAAGAAATATTATAAAAACATCAAGAGAGAAATAAACTAATTTGTTAAAGTTTTCAGTGATGACGTTTATTTTCAAAAGAACAACGTTACACCAATATTTTTTTTTTTTGCAAAATGACAAATCTGTGCTTGTGCGTTTACAATGTGCTTATCTTCGATTTTCATTTGCCCCTACTTGTGAACTATTATTAAAACTGCATTTGTTCATTGAAATACTTTCTGTAAGTATTTGCAGATCCGTACCGTGGGTAGTGCAGGCGGTGCGTTCGCACAGGGCGCCAACTCGAAGGGGGCACCGATCTTCCTATTGACTCACAAAGCGAACTTATGGGTTGGGGAGCGCCGAATTTGTTTGTTGCACAGGGCATCATCAAACATCGGTACGGCACTGAGTCTTTGTAATTTTTTCAGGTATTTTTTTTATTTAAAATAGCTCGCAAGTCTAATAAAAAAATTATTATTGTGATTTTTGTTATTTTTTCCTTACTAGTCAGAGAGTGATTAGTTGAGAAGCTTTCTGCTTATCGTATTAGTCTCGCTCAGGTCACAGAATGAGGAATTTTAATACTTTATAACCTTTTCGACATCAATTTAGGATTAGATAAGTCAGATTTTTAATTAGCACTGTTTGCAAGATCTCTATGGTTATGTGAGTCTATTTTCAATCTTCCAGAGATATGCGACGAAGTACACAAAATATAACATCGGTATCGTGAAGCAGACAATAACGGAAACAACTACTAATATGTTGACTTTAGTTTAAGACGGAAGTGACGTATATATATATATATTCGTACATAAATAAAATTCGTTCTTTTTACCATAACAATCACACAAAGAGAAATCTTTCATTATTTTCAGTTTTTAAAATTTAATGTTTAACTTGGAGATAGCTGTTTCTAGTTATAGTTTAGTGAATTTAAGGAAAATTCAAAAATCAAATATTATTACATTTGATAAGATTAAACATCAGACCCAGTAATCAAAGTATTATTGTTGTTTCGGTATGTGTTTACACGTGCCTACAAAACTATAACCTGAAATTTCTGCACTTTTATTAGGCCATTTATACATTTGTAAGCATAAATAACTTAATCAGTGTTTTCAAATTTAAGTAATTAAGTCTGCTGTTTGACATTTTTAACCTAATGCTCACGTTACTACTCAGTATTATATAACGCGCATGTGTTTGTCCATTTAATGTTTGTGGAATCTTATTACAGATACAAATCGACTAGGATCGAGTCTTCTACTTCTTCATATACTGCACTAAAGAAGGTATTCTGCCTGTAAAGCCTACACATTCATCCTTCAGTACAACATTTAATGCTGAAATTCGTTACTTACGAAAATTAAATATAAATATTCATTGCTATTAACTTTATTCGTTTTGAATACGATTCTCATAACGTGTATTTCACTCATTATTTCAGGAATGTTGGCATGCAGGAAAAAAACGACTTTACGGAATATTTTGCTAGTATCAATGAACTACTTCTATCCGAAGAACCACGAGCCCGGCACGGTGACAAACAGTAGATTTAAGAAATAAATATTCATATCTTCAATCACTTAGAGGATTGTGTTACATTATTTCTCGTCTGTAAATACTCAGTCTTTATCATTCTCTGCTATTCTGTAAGTCACTGTCGTTTTTATAACAAGCAGCAAGTTAAATTCTGATTCACTTTAGTAATTAAGACTAATTGATCGAAAGTTATACTGATACCCAAACAAGGTAATAAAACAAATTACTGTATGTTTAGCGATGTTATTAGAATGTGCTACAGAGATTAATAACTTGCGTAGGCTTAGTATATCTTGTTGTGTAACACTACGTTATGTATGAACCAAAAAACAACTTGTGTCAGACCTGCTCTAATTAAACCATATATAATAGTTATATTATTTCACCTAGCAGTTAATGATTTACAA